GGACTTATGTCCCAGAGCTAACAGGGGTAGAGCAGGACTCATGTCCCGGAGCTAACAGGGGTAGAGCAGGACTCATGTCCCGGAGCTAACAGGGGTAGAGCAGGACTCATGTCCCGGAGCTAACAGGGGTAGAGCAGGACTTATGTCCCAGAGGGACTTATGTCCCAGAGCTAACAGGGGTAGAGCAGGACTCATGTCCCAGAGCTAACAGGGGTAGAGCAGGACTCATGTCCCAGAGCTAACAGGGGTAGAGCAGGACTTATGTCCCGGAGCTAACAGGGGTATAGCAGGACTTATGTCCCAGAGGGACTTATGTCCCGGGGCTAACAGGGGTAGAGCAGGACTCATGTCCCAGAGCTAACAGGGGTAGAGCAGGACTCATGTCCCAGAGGGACTTATGTCCCAGAGCTAATAGGGGTAGAGCAGGACTTATGGCTCTCAGCGTCTGCATATTGACTCCAGCTTCTGAATGATAACGGAGACAAAGCAGGCGACGGTCCCCCTGCTCTGCAGAGCCACTGCAGATAGTGCAGATACTGGCAGAGAAAAGCCAATAACAGAGAAGAGTCTCTGAGGCTGCAGCCGCCTTCGTATCTGTTTTCATTAGAGCCATGATCTTATTGCTGGTAAAGCAGAACATTACAGAGAAACGTCAATACCACAGGTTTAAGTTTAATCAAACAGAGAGGGATTCATCTTTCACATTACAAGTTCAAGCAATGAAACACATTCAGATCAGGACTTTGATAGTTTGGTCAGTCCTTCAAAGTAACATTAAAAGGAAAAAATCCTCAGTAGAGGCTAACATGGTGGCATTCTCTTTATTTTGTTTAAAGGAAATCCAGCCACAAGCTGGCTGTTTGTCCAGATGAAGTGGCCCCAAACACAAAGCCACTACCGGGGAAAAGGCTGTTCTTATGTGCTCTATAACACAACTGCTGGGTTCTCATTTACTGCTCCGGCTCCCAGCTTCAGAATCCTGGAGGACAGGCGGCTTTTCTGTGGCATCAGACACAATTGTGGCTTTTCTTGTTTGTGAACTTAATAAAAGCTTAAATATGCCCTCAGCCGAAAATCTGCAAAGTGGAACCTCCCATGAATACAAAGTTGGAAGGTTTCCACTCAGCTGGTGAGATCCGACTAAACACCAACAAAAAGTTTCATTGGGAGACAATAGTTTCCTTTCTCAATCCA